TTTTTATAATTTTTTATACTTTTCAAACAATTTATTTATAATAATACTTAAAATAATCATAATTTTAAAAATCTATTTTCCCAAAATAAATTCCCATTCCCACACCTCTGTATTTTCCGTAGTTTCCCTCTATTTTCCGTCCCGGCAACATGGGAATTAATGGAATTTTGAAATTTTCATGAACATTAATTATATAATAGACTAACTTTATTATATAACTTAATGTATAACTCCTTAAGCACGTGCGGTTAGTGAATTTTGCACTGTGCATAATGTACCTTGTTTAAAATGTTTTCTAGTATAAATAGATGCTGTAACTGGTAAGTTTTTAGATACATTTATTAAGCTGGTTTATTTAATAAATATGGTTAAATTAAAATCATCGTTAGTTATTATTTTATTGTTTAATGTTTGCATTGATTTTATATCATGTATTGATGTGAAGACAACATCGGGTGTAGTGAGGGGTCAGACGATAGATGTGTTGAACGTAAGTATTGACCAGTTTTTGAGTATACCTTATGCCGAACCACCCGTCGGGAGACTCCGGTTCGCCAAACCTGAACCCATCAGCACTCCTATTGAGGTAAACATTTTCATTATGGTTAAAATTATAAATCTAGTATAATTTTATGCTATTTAATTTTATTGTTATTTAAGATTTTTATTAGGTAACAAATTATAAAATAGTGCAAATATTTATGATTTTATTTATAAAACAAAAATGCTGGTTTATTAATATCCAAATAGTTATATATTTTTTATTATGTTCAATATATTTTTAGTTAATTATGCAATACTGTACAATGATTTATAATGATTAATGTACTAAAAATAGCTTTAATTATGAGGGCTTATTCATGATATAAAATAATAGTTCGCACATGTTTGCACATCAATTAGATAACCACTATAAAATTTATATAACGCTTGAAGTTTATTAAATAATTGAATTTTATTCATAAACAATAGCTTTAATGTCAATCACATTAGACGCTAATAACATATAATTATATTGTATTTTGTCTACCATGGAAAAAGTCTGCTTAATATTTCCACGTGCTGTCAAGTAAAACATAAACGTCCTTGATCGCATCTGATGCAGTAATGTTTCTTAATGTTACATTAATAATGTAGAATCTTAATGTATATTATTAAATGAAAAGTACAATATTCAGCCGAAGTCGATGTTAAAGTGCATGGTGGTTTATTTTTCTTTATTTAAATTAGCGCATGTGACATTAATTAGACATTAATAATTTAAAAATCATTACAATAATTACAAAATAACAAATATTTTAAATATAAATATGCGGGCTTGATAAATAACTTGTTGCAATCACTGTAATTATGATGTTATTTGTAAAATATTGTTTGACTCTCTGTTTATTACAATGTGTTGAATGTAAATACTGGCCAACAAACGGGCCTATTGTGAGCACCCGTACGAGTACAGTGAGGGGTAAGACTGTACGCGTGCTAAACAAACATGTTGATCAGTTTCTGAACATACCTTACGCCGAGCCACCAGTCGGTGCCCTCCGGTTCAGTAATTCAAAATCACTTAAAACTCATAATAAAGTAAAGTTTACTTATTATTTAAGTCAATAATTATAGCAACAAATTGTTATAAATCAATTTATAATTAAACCAATAATAAAATAATAATTTAATTACACATGATCAATTATATCTCTAGCCATTCATCGATGGTCGAGTGCCGGGCAAATCATGTGTGCAAAAATATGTGCCACAATTCTTCTACGACAAGGTTGGAAACATCATCCAAAGCGAGGACTGTCTGGTGTTGAACGTGTGGACCCCTACGGCCCGTACCGGTGACCGACAGAAAGCGGCCCTAAAACCGGTCATGTTTTGGATATATGGCGGGGGTTTTGCTATTGGGTCCATATTTCAACACCAATACAACGCTAGTCTATTGGCAGCACACGATGTGGTGGTTGTGTCCGTCAACTATAGGTTAGGACCGTTTGGTTGGCTATACGGGGATCGGGAGGACGCGCCCGGAAATGTCGGCTTTTATGACCAGTTATTGGCTCTCAAATGGGTATCAATGGATCGCTTGTTATATTCATAATTTTTATTCATTTAATAAAATAATATATGAATTAATGACATAATAATAGGTTAGAGAAAACATCCATATGTTTGGCGGAGATAAGGATCAGATTACTATATTTGGTGAGAGCGCCGGCAGTTGGTCGGGATCGGCACATATCATATCGCCGTTAAGTAAAGGCCTATTCAAACGGGTTATTATGCAAAGCGGTGCCCATTATTACAACCCGGATAGGGATCCGGTCAACACAACTGAAGCCCTATTTATGGCCAAACAATTTGCAAAAAGCATGAACTGTACGGACGAACAGAAATGGTTGGACTGTTTGCGTGGTATCGACGCCCAGGCGTTGATCAAAGGGTTTGATACAAATGTCCAGATATTCCCGATTCTGGGCACAGAATTTCTGCCAATGAGTGCTCAGCAAGCGTTCAAACAAGTGTCGTTTAATAAAGGTAAAATATATTAATTTACCAACAATTTAGCTTGATAGAATTTGGGGATTATTGCTTAATTTAACAAGTTTATCATTAATATAATTATTGTATTGATTACTGTATTGTCCCAAACATATAGACCTGGATATCATGGCCGGTGTTGAACGCAATGAAGGCTCAGTAATAATGCAACCCTTAGTGATATCCAACCCTACTGTCCAAGACTTTACTCAATTGGTATCCATTGTGGGCTCAGTTTATCACAATTACGATATCAAACGTATCGTAGATTTCTATACAAAATCTATCGACACAAACAATTCCGATGCCATCCTATGGGCTGAATATAACTTTTTCAGTGACGTAACGATGATATGCCCGACCTATAGGTTCGCCAAAGCATACGGCCAGTTGTCGGGCACCGGGAGTGTGTACTTCTATGACCAGACATACGCCCGACAGTCGTATTTAAATGAGACACTCTATGGTGTGACACACTTTGCGGACATTGACTTTGTGTTTGGTTTACCACTACTGGAGCCGTCAGTCACTGACACAGCAATTGATAGACAATTTAGTCTACAAGTGATGAAATGGTGGACAGATTTTGCTAAATATGGGTTAGATTTTTGTTGAAATTTTTATGTGAATTAGTGTTATATTAATTGCAATTATTTGTCTAATAATAGCCGACCGGACCCTAAATGGCCTAAACTTATTGGCGATAAACCGGGTGTTAAACTAGTGTCAAAAGTAAAGGATTTAAATCCATATAATCTGTACTATTATTTTGAAGATCTGTTCGCCAAGACTTGCGATGGTTTGTGGAAAGATTTTTATGGCCAATGATTGGTTGGATTATTAATTGCTTGTATAGTTAATTAAATGTAATGTTTAAAATGTGATAGCAAAATAATATAATAAGTTAGTTTTTTAATTACTTCTAGTTTTATTCAAATGAATACAAATTTTTTATCAAAATAAAACATGTGATTGAGAGTCACATTTAACGGCAAACAATTATTATAATTGCAATTTTAAATTTTTATATTCAAATGTCTTTTCATGTGATATTTCAGATGACCATTCTGCGTATAACTTTTATTACAATTATTGAAATGACAAACAAATGGTCTTTCGCCCGAATGTATGCGTTTGTGTTGAATTAGATGCCATTTTGTTTGAAATTTTTTGCCACAATTTTCTTCATAACATTTAAATTTCCTTTCATTCAAATGAACACAATTTTTGTGGTTAATTAAATACTGTTCTGTTGTAAATGTTTTGTGACATTCATTAAAATCACAAATAAATGATCTCAATTTTAAATGAAATGTTCTAATATGGCATAATAAATGTCCATGTAGTTTGAAGGCCATGGTGCAATTTTCTTCATTACATTTAAATTTTCTTTCATTCATATGAACACAACTTTTATGTCGTAATAAATCTCCTTTTTGTGTAAAACTTTTGTGGCATTCATTAAAATCACAAATAAATCTCACATTTAAATGAATGTTATTTTTGTGTTGAATTAAATGTGAGTTTCTATTATAACTTTTATTACAATTATTAAAATCACATTTAAATTGTTTTATTTCTGAATGATTTAATTGATGTTTAGTTAAATCACATTTAATTTTAGTCTTGTATTGACATTTAGACCAAAAACAGTGAAAATAATCATCAGATTTAGTAAGGATATGACAATTGTTTAGTAAACAGGTTTTGACTANTTAATGACATAATAATAGGTTAGAGAAAACATCCATATGTTTGGCGGAGATAAGGATCAGATTACTATATTTGGTGAGAGCGCCGGCAGTTGGTCGGGATCGGCACATATCATATCGCCGTTAAGTAAAGGCCTATTCAAACGGGTTATTATGCAAAGCGGTGCCCATTATTACAACCCGGATAGGGATCCGGTCAACACAACTGAAGCCCTATTTATGGCCAAACAATTTGCAAAAAGCATGAACTGTACGGACGAACAGAAATGGTTGGACTGTTTGCGTGGTATCGACGCCCAGGCGTTGATCAAAGGGTTTGATACAAATGTCCAGATATTCCCGATTCTGGGCACAGAATTTCTGCCAATGAGTGCTCAGCAAGCGTTCAAACAAGTGTCGTTTAATAAAGGTAAAATATATTAATTTACCAACAATTTAGCTTGATAGAATTTGGGGATTATTGCTTAATTTAACAAGTTTATCATTAATATAATTATTGTATTGATTACTGTATTGTCCCAAACATATAGACCTGGATATCATGGCCGGTGTTGAACGCAATGAAGGCTCAGTAATAATGCAACCCTTAGTGATATCCAACCCTACTGTCCAAGACTTTACTCAATTGGTATCCATTGTGGGCTCAGTTTATCACAATTACGATATCAAACGTATCGTAGATTTCTATACAAAATCTATCGACACAAACAATTCCGATGCCATCCTATGGGCTGAATATAACTTTTTCAGTGACGTAACGATGATATGCCCGACCTATAGGTTCGCCAAAGCATACGGCCAGTTGTCGGGCACCGGGAGTGTGTACTTCTATGACCAGACATACGCCCGACAGTCGTATTTAAATGAGACACTCTATGGTGTGACACACTTTGCGGACATTGACTTTGTGTTTGGTTTACCACTACTGGAGCCGTCAGTCACTGACACAGCAATTGATAGACAATTTAGTCTACAAGTGATGAAATGGTGGACAGATTTTGCTAAATATGGGTTAGATTTTTGTTGAAATTTTTATGTGAATTAGTGTTATATTAATTGCAATTATTTGTCTAATAATAGCCGACCGGACCCTAAATGGCCTAAACTTATTGGCGATAAACCGGGTGTTAAACTAGTGTCAAAAGTGAAGGATTTAAGTCCACACAATTTGTACTATTATTTTGAGGATCTGTTCGCTAAGACTTGCGATGGTTTGTGGAAAGATTTTTATGGCCAATGATTGGTTGGATTATTAATTGCTTGTATAGTTAATTAAATGCAATTAAAACATTTATTTTAAATACATTATATTCAATGAAATGACAAATTATTTGTTACATTTGATAAATATTTTATAAAGTCAAATAAAATACAATAAGAATATATAAAATGTAAAGTATTTGTTACACAAAATATATTTTTACAAAAGATATATAAAAATTGTTAAACATATAAAATTCAATTTATATGGGTTTTAAAATTTATAACTTATTATAAGTTAAAGTTATACGAGTCTCGACCATTGATTTGAGACAATTATTGTAAAGTAAGACAAACATTTGGACAATTAGTGATGAGGCGATTGACAGCCATTTGTGTGCTATTATTAGTGCCCATGAGTTGAATGCAACGGATTTGTGTCAGTCTTGACAATGCATTCAACACTTCATCCGTTATTATCACTCCATTGACTCTCAGATGCAGAAGTTGTGGCAAATTGTGGTCAATATTAACAAACATTTTGTTTGCATTTATAAATTTTTTCTCAAAAATCCAATCAAAATTAATACACAAATGTGTTAATCGTTTCATTGATTTCAATGAATTAGTAGTGAATAATGTAAGAAAAGTTGCGTTGATTTTTAATCGCTTTAATTGTTTAAAACATTTATTAATTGTTTCGAGAAATTGCTCAGTAATTGACTCAAAATTAGGAGCAGTTATCGTAAGACTCTTTAGTTGCGGACATTTGAGACCAATTTGTGACAATAGGCGCCGATATGTAAGACATCCAAACATATGTAACGTGAGGTGAATTAATGGCCGCATTTGTGACAACCCGTCCGATAAGCTATTAACCAGATTCTCGTCATCACTAGTGTTGGTACAAATTCCAACTCCAATTGACTTAATATTGTGGCCGTAATTGTGAGCAAACAATTCAAATGCGCTCAACTCAACCACATTTACACCGTTTATGTGATAACTCAATGAATTGAGACGTTTATAACGTAAACCATTTTCACCGCTAATTACAGGAAGAATTTGAGACAATTCGCCACAAATACTAATTTTAGTCAAATTAACACACATTTCAAGCCATTTAAACAATACATCATTCATAACAGTATTGTGTAAACCACTCAATGATATGGTTTTCAATTGTTTGGCAAACTTTGCGAAAAATGTATCAATAGTTTGGATAGAAATTGAGGACCACTTTACAGATAAATGCAGTGAAATGTCTGTTAAATGATTGCAACGTTTTGTATAAAAATCAATGGTTGAGTCTTTAAAGAACTCAGCTAGATGGTTTTTAGAATTAACACGTGTAATGTTTGTACACTTTTTTGTGATTATATCCAAATTTTTCTTTTTTCCATCCTTTGGTAACACAAATTGTCTCAAATGTCCGCAACTAAAGAGTCTTACGATAACTGCTCCTAATTTTGAGTCAATTACTGAGCAATTTCTCGAAACAATT